TATGAGGCCGTTGTATAGGAGAGGGAACAGAGGACAGAGTGTTTACACAGTTTTGAGGAATTCGTGAATTCAGCATGGGTCCGGCTTGAAGTGTCTCGAAGAAAGCGCGCGCACCCGAATCGCAGACATATGGCTATATGAGGACCTGGGACACTTTGCTTCCCGTCGTCGTCCTCGCCCTTGCTCCGTTCCCCTTCCTGTCTTCCCTCCCCTGGATGGTGTCGAAAGCGTCCGCGGCTCGGGCGGGGGAGCGCCCCTTCCCACCTCCCTTATTATTCCTCGTTCCTCTTTGCCTCCCTGCTCCACCGTCCGTCGTCCTACCTCGTCCACCCTCCTTGTTCGAAAAGTGAAGTCCCCGGTGCCGCGTGCCCGCGTCAGCGGTAAATGTTTTTTCGATACCCGAGCACAACGGCGCAACCAAACAGAGGGGATTACCAATGCGAGAGTTCGGGGCGCACCCAAAATGCGGGCGGCACGGCCGCCGAGCACAGTCGCATCGCTAACATGTAAATTATAGGTGCCTGCGGCAAGGTCCGCCCCCCTGCGCCAGCAGTGGTCTCTATGGCGGCGCGTGGAGTTTTGACTTGTAAGAGGTCCATGACATGTAACATCTCTCGTGTTTTCGGACTGCTGCGCGGCATTATTTGGTGTCCTTCGAGGCCTTTTGGGGCGTCTTCGGGCCGTTGGGGGCCGCTTTGGCGCCGCGTTACACCGCGGCCGCCCTGGGCCAGGGAAGCGTGTATTTGCGGTTCTCTCGGGGGCGCCCTGGGCCGGGGACGTGTGTATTTGCATTCCCCCCCGGCTGGGCACGTCAACTTCGGTTCTGGGCTGGCAAAGTCGGGGCGCCCTCGAGGTGGCGAGCGTTTACCTTTTCGAAATACACAGATCAACGTGTGATCTGTGTACACAGCTTGTGTCTTCAACTGTGTATTTTCGTGTGTGGGCCCGCAGTTTACACAGATCGTGGTGTGATCTGTGTACACAGATCTCGTTCCCATCTGTGTATTTGGAGTGTGTCCCTCGCGGGTGGTGTTGAATGGGCGGAAACTTTAGCGTTTCTCTTCCAGCTGGTCCAGGGGGGCGTCGTGCGCGGTCGAAATACACAGTTCGTGTCTCCAACTGTGAATTTGTTGCGGGCCATTCGCTGGAGTGGTCTCTGGGCGGGAATTTCCGCGGGCATCCCGGCTGGTCCAGGAGGGGGCCGTGGTCTGGGCATGCAATGGCGCGGGGGGGGTGGGGAGGGTGGGCTGTGGGAAGGAAGGGGTTCGACAGGAGGGGTGGCCGAGGGGCCAAGGATGAACGGGACTGGACGAAAGCGGATGAAATGAGCCCAGGAGGATTTGCATCGTCGGCGTCAGCATCACGAGGGCGAGGGAGGTGGGGTGGGGGGCAGAAGTTGGGGGCATGATGTGCACTAGGGCGTAGAGGATGGGAGGAGGGCAGGCATGTGGACGATGGGGGAACGAATCCGGCGCAGGAGGACGACGAGGAACGACGTGAATTGGCACATCGGGGGGAGCAGTGTGGATGAAAGGCATGATGAGGACCGGGGCAATCGGAGGGGCATGAGGAGGGTGGAGCCGCAGCGAAGGGATATTTGGAAGAGGCGGGGGGTGGGGCATGAGTTCGAGGCGGGCGCCAGCTAACGATTCGCTGAACAGTGTTTTGCTTGTCCGTGCACCCCCAGAACACAGTGACTGGTTGCAGAACTTCATGATAAGGGTAATCGTGCGCTTCGTGCTTCCAGGCCGCAGGCTCGAGTCCGCGACGCCCTTTGGCGTTGCGATGATGCCGCCCCGATTTGCCAGACCGCATATGCACAGATACGCAAAATATGTGTTGCAACGTTTGCTTCATGACCCTCTGTCTACTAACAGGCCCACGCTGGAATCCAAGATGAGAATCCAGTTGTAGAATTGTGCTGTTCTCGCAGTCGTAGTCGCATTCGCGATGACAGTCGCAGTGGCAACGGCAGTCACAGACACAGCCTCAGCCTGCCTCAGCCTCAGCCTCAGCCTGCCTCAGCCTCAGCCTGCCTCAGCCTCAGCCTCAGCCTGCTTCAGCCTCAGCATCAGTCTGCCTTCAGCCTCGGACTCGGCCTCGGCCTCAGCCTCAGCCTGCATGAGCCTCAGCCTCAGCCTCAGCCTGGCTCAGCATCAGCCTGCCTCAGCCTCAGCCTTGCCTCACATCAGCCTTGCCTCAGCATTCAAAATGTGGCCCGGGTATGGAGTTCTGGGAACTCGAAGAGCACGAAGTGGGCGTTGATTACTGTTGGCTTCCGGGATTCCTGGAGAATGCGGCGCGCAATGTTCTTAGGTGCATTGTTCGAAGGCTGTGGCCTACCAGTTGGTCGCGGAGCCATCCAAAACTTGTGGCCCGGGGAATGGAGTTCTGGGAACTCGAAGACACGAGTGGCCTACAGTTTGCTCCTGGGGCATCCAAAAAGTGGCACCGGGGAAGGGAATGGAATGGAGTTCTGGGAATCCGAAGACCACGAAAGTGGGCCTACAGTTGGTTCAGGGATCCGAAATGTGGGCCCGGGGGAATTGGAGTTCTGGACTCTCGAAGACCACGAAGTGCTGCCTAGTTGGCTCCGGGCATTCAGAATGTGGCCCGGGAATGGCGTTCTGGGAGGTCAAGTAGCACCAAGTGTGTGACTGTTGCATCCGGTTATTCAGAATGTGGCCTGGGAATGGGGTTCTGAGAGGTCGACGAGCACGAAGTGTGTGACTGTTGGTGAAAAACGAGCCCGGCACAGGCCCGGCCGGCAACTCCCAACGCCTGCCCGGACCCCCCTGTGGAGTGATCTGTGGGCTCTTTTGAGTCAACTAGAAACCTATCAGTCTTCGCTGTTAGGTAAAAAAGTACATTGATAGCATACACGGCTTTTCTGCTTTCGCAGCGTTGAAGGCTCCCAAGAGTTCCCCAAAACGGCCCAACAGGGCCCCAAGACGGCCCAAGAGGCGCCCCAGACAGCCCAAGAGGGCCCCAAGACAGCCCCAAGAGGGGGACCACGAACCGAACAGTCTAGCCTTTCGCCCCAAGAAGCTCCCAGGAGGCCCCAAGCGCCCCCCAAGAAGCCCCAAGAGGCCCCCAAGAGGTTCCCAAGAGGCCCCCAAAAGGGCTCCAAAAGGGCCGCAATAGGACCCCCAAGAAGGCCCAGAGACGCCAAATAAAGAGCGATCGGTAACGCAAGAAGCTCTTCACACCAAGGCTCCCAAGAGCGAACGGTGACGTAAACAAGCTGATAAGACCAAGGCTCCCAGCAGGGAGCGGTGACGTAGCAAGTTCCTCACACCAAGGCCCAGCCAAGGCTCAGGAACGGGCGGCAACGCAACAATCTCTGAACACCAAGGCTCCCAAGAGCGCGGGGTGACGTAACAAGCTCTCAACGTCAAGGCTTCCAGTACGAACGGTGGTGTGAGTAATTTCGGTCAAGATTCTTAAGCGCTCTTTCCGTTTCTGTGCTGGGCCCAGGTCTAGTGGCCTTCGGCCCAACCCGCCACCGTGCCTGGGCTTTGGGTCAGGAGCCCCTTGGATGGATATGAGGGTTTCTTGGGATGCCTCTCTGGGGCCTCTTGGATGTCTTGGGGGCATCTGGGAGGCGTCTTGGAGGCCTCTAAGGGCCTCTTGGGGGCACCTCGGGGGCCTCTCCCCGAAGCGAATACATGGGATTGGGACGATGTTTACCTCTTAGGGCATCATCGGCGGTCCTCTTGGAACACTTTTGGGCTGTCTTGCGGGCCCGGTGGGCCGCCTTGAAATCATCTTGGGTCGTCGTGGGGCTGCCCTGGGCCGTCTCGACGCTCTCTTCGACTCTCTTGGCGTTATGTCGTGGCCCTCTCGGATCTTTTCGGAGGTTCTGGAGGCCCCAGGGGTGCGCTGACGAGCTCACGCCCTCCACCCCCCCACCCCCTCAAACGACACTTTGGATCCCGGGGGAGGGGAAAGGGGAAGGGGGACGGCCAAACGTCTCACACGCCTCCTCACCCCTGGCAAGCGAGGGTGGGCGGATGTGGCAATCTTCGACGGCCCCGTGGCCTCGCGCCCTGGCCTGGCCCCACAGCCGTCCACGCGGGCACAGGCCGAACTAGTGCAGGCAGCGGTCAATCAGTATCGTTTAGCCAATCCCTATCCCCATCCCCATCCACATCTCGAGCCCCACCATCTCACCACCTCAGTTGGGAATATGCCCCTCGAAACCCGAAGAGAGCCGCCTATATCCCCATCCAGCGGATAAATCGGCCAGTGGGGCCCAGCCCACGCTGGTGGGGATGGGGATCGGTTAAACGATGCTCAGTCGATTAAGCAGGATCAGGACTGGACCGAGATCTCCGAGGACATGATTTTCAATCCGCACGTTATTCCTGGAGGTCTGCCTCTGGGGCCACCGAGAGGCACAAAACCCACGCTCGGGCAAGGAAGGGGTCGGGAGCTCTGGGGCCGCAGTTTTCTGCCACCACGGGGACGACCAAAACATCTGAATGATGTCGGCGACGCCCCCGAGCAGGCCTGGACTTCTATAGCGAAGATCGGCTCCCAACGCTGCTTGATGACGTGGGCCATGGGCGCCAAGTCCCCGATTCGCCAGTCCTACTCCAGGCCCCCTTCTCCCCTAAGGGCGCTGCCTCTGCATGGCCCCCCCACCTCACTCCTCAGTGCTCCTCTCCTTCCCCCACCATACGCCTCCTCCTCTCTCCCTTCCCTCATCCTCCTCCTCCTCCTATTCCCCTCCTCCTCCCTCCTGCTCCTCCTCCTCCTCCTCCTCCTCTCCTCCCTCCTCCTTCCTCCTCTCCTCATTCTCCTCTCCTCCCCCTCCGCCTCCGCCTCCTCCTCCTTCATTCTACTCCTCCTTCCCTCTTCTTCTCCTCCTCCCTCCTCCTTCCTACCTCACTGCCCTCCTCCTCCTTCCTTCCTCCTCCTCCTCCTCCTCCCCCTTCCCCTCCTTCTCCTCTTCTCTTCCTAATCGCCATCCTACGCTTGGCCCTCCCCCTCCCCAGGATGGCTCGTGGATGAGCATGGATCGCGTTGAGGAGCTTCAGCGGGGCGTCGACTCTGAGCTCCGGCAGCTGCATCGTGCCGCGCACTCGGCGGAGGCCAGCGACGAGGCCAGCGACGCGCCGCCCAGCAGCCCCAGACCTCCGGTGTCTTGAGTTCTGCACCACGGGGCCCCCAGAAGTCCAGACCCGCTCCCGGGGGCCAGCTCCTCCCGAGCCGTTCTCTGACGGCCCCGGGGCCCAGCGAGGGCCCCTGGGAGGCCGCAAGCGGCGAAGCAAAACGCGCCTGCAGAGTTCTGCCAGGGCGCCGGAGATGACAGCCCAGACCTTCGGCGCCGTGGCTTCTGTCGTGGCGCGGCCCCCGCGGAGCCCTCGACGCTCGGACCCCGCCCGCGGGACCTCCCTCAGCCGCGCCGGCCGCCTCTTGTCGTCTTCCGGGAGCTTCTGAGGAGCTCTTCTTAACCGCGATAGGTATTTCCCTCCCACGCACGGTGGAAACGAATTATTGTTTTGACGCCCTTGTTCACGGACTGGGGTCCCACTGATAATTAGTGGCACATGTTACTTTTCTTGCTCTCTCGTCTTGCCTCTCCTCGTCCTCCTCCTCCTCGTCCTCCTCCTCCTCATCCTCCTCCTCCTCCTCGTCCATTCCTTCCTCCTCCGTGGGGATGAGACGAGGAGGAGCAGGAGGAGGACGAGGAGGAGGTGCAAGAGGAGGAGGAGGATCACTGACCAAACTGCCAGGACTGCGAGCGGGCCGCCTTTGACAGTCCCTGGATTGTCCAGGGGGAACCCGTCGCCTGGAGGAACCCCAATTCGCAGCCTGTTATTGTGGTTTGCGCATGAGGGTGGACCCTGGCTAGCAACCCACAAGAAAGTCGAAGGAGGAGAGGTACTCTGCATAGGGCATTACCCCCTACGCCTGCAGCGGTAGCTCCCTGGGGACACTGCGGAGGGGATGGGACTCCTCCTCCTCCTCCTCCTCCTCATCCTTCTCCTCCTCCTCCTCCTCCTCCTCCTCTCCTCCTCTCCCCTCCTCCTCCTCCTCCTCCTTCCTCCTCCCTCCTCCCATCCTCCTGGATGCGTCCGATCCCCCTCCTCCCCTCCTCCTCCTCCTTCTCCTCCTGCTCCTCCTCATCCTCCTCCGCCTCCTCCTGCCCCTCCCTCTCCTTCTCTCCCACCTCCCCCCTCCTCCTCATCCTCCTCCACAGCAGAAGCAGAGTGAAGTGGATGAGCGCACACGAGTGAGCGGGGCTGGAGGGGAAAGGGGGTCGAGGCTGCCTCGGTCAGGGGCAGCACTGCGTTGGCGGCAACCCGCGGCCTCAGCTGCTATACCCACTTGCCTACAACAGCAGAGTGCCACAGGCTACCCCCAGCCGTGTGGCCGAACGGCGGCGGCCCAGCAATGCCTGACGATCCTGCCCTGTCCCGAGGTTGGGAGGGGAGGTACCGACGAGCAGGGACGAAGTGTTGCGAAGACTAGCTGGGGTGAGGCGGAGGAGCGGGCGAGCGGGTGGGAAAGGAAATAAGGGAAGGGAGACGATGGCGAACGGTGAACGCAGAGACCTCACTAGCCACGCCCTGCTCCGACGGACGGCTGTTGGCGTGACACTGCCATTGCCCCCCAGGACGTTGCGTCCTGCGCTGGGGCCGGGCGCCCACCTCTGAGGACGATGGGGTCGAGAGCCCGCCTGCACAAGTGGCGGGTGCGATAATCCACCGCCCCATGGTAATGGCGGGGCGAGCCCGCCCGTCAGGGTGTCAAGGTCCAGGGCTTGCTAACCCGGGTGACGGGGTCGTCCCAGCGATGGGATCGAGAGCCCACTTACCCCGCCAGCTGGTGGGATCGAGAGCTCACATGTGAGGGTGTCGGGGCCCGTGCCGACGACCCCCCCTTGTGGCCCGGAGAGCCGAAACGAGCGCCGCCTGCGCGTCCCCGGGCACTATCCTGAGACCCTTGACTTGCCACCAGGGCCACATCTCGGGCAGTTTTGGGCCGCCGTTTCTGGGTCCCCAGGCCCCACTGGGGCCCTCGGCTCACACCGCGCTCGCCTCGAACTACATACGCGCGGGCATTTTGCCACGGAGCGGCGCGTTGTTTGTTGCAAAATGCATCCTGCCTCTCCTGGTGGCGGGGTCTTCGCGGCGATGGGGTGGAGAGCCCACCTACCCCGCCAGCTGGTGGGGTCGAGAGCTCACCGCAATAGATGTCGGGGCCCGGCCAGGCGAAAGCCCACCCCCTCATGGCCCTTGGGCGGCCTTCTCGGGGTCTCCCGACCCCTGTGTGGCCCTCGGGATCCGCCGCGCCCGCCCCGAAACGAGGCGCGGGCGCTCTGCCACGGAGTGGCGTGCTGCGGCAAAATGAAGTCGTGGCCAGGCATGGGTCCTGGGCCCGCCTCCTCAAGTGGCGGGGTCGTCGCTGAAGCGGCGTCTTCGGGGTCTCCGGACCCCTGTGGGGCCCCTATAGGAGCCCACAGGCCTGGCTGGCCGACCCCCTCCCTCGTGGCCCTGAAGCCGCCTTGTCGGGGTCTCCGGACCCCTGTGGGGCCCCCAGGAGGCCACAGGGCTTGCTGCACACCCTCCCTTTTCCCCACAGACGCGTTCCCCTCTCGCTGGGGGTGAGGCGCACCCCATCGTTCCCCTCTCCCTGGGGGTGAAGCGCACCCCATCTAGGAGCGGGCGTTTTGCCGCGGAGCGGCGCGCTGTTGTGGCAAAATGAAGTCGTGGCCAGGGATGGGGGTTGGACTCGCCTCTCCAAGTGACGGGGTCGTCTCGGCGATGGGGTCGAGAGCCCACCAACCCCGCCAGTTGGTGGTGTCCAGAGCTCTCCTCTAAACTGAGTGTCGGGGCCCAGCCAGACGAAAACCTCCCCCTCGTGGCCCTTGGGAAGCACGCGAGGATGACGAGGCGGAGCCAGGATTTCGGGGGCGGGGAATGAGAACAGCCCCTGGAGAGAGGGGGAGCGGAGAGCATGGGGGAGGGGAGGGCCGGGGGAGGAGGAAGCAAGGAGGGTGGTGCTCGAAGGAAGGAGGACGAGGAGGACGAGCGAGCCCGCGGGGTGGTGCCCCCACTCGGGGTCCGAATTCCACGTGGATATCCTTCCTCCATGATCTTCGTCCAGGGCATCGCATTTTGACTTCTGGCTCCCCCCACTGACGCCTGCCAGGCGCAGTGCAGACCCAAACGACTGCGAAGCACGAGGAACGACGAGAGTCCGGACCTTACTTATGTGAAGCCGTGATTGTGCTATTTTGCCCCTAAGCGCGCAGAAGTTGTGCGAGCTGAGGTGCGGGCGGCAAGAGCAGCTGCCGCTAGGCTAGCTTTCTCCTGGCCCGTCGGCAAAACGCCGCCCTGTGCCCCCCCCCCCCCCCCGCGGGGGGCTGCACAGGTGATCACCCTTCAAACAGGGTGCCCGCAGGACTGCGGCGGAGGGCGCCCCTCTTGAGAGAGCGGGTTGGACTGGCCCACTGTTGGAGAGGAGGGTGTGTGTGTGTGTGATGTGTGGTGTGTGGTGTGTGGTGTGTGGTGTCTGTGGTGTCTGTGGTGTCTGTGGTGTGTGGTGTGTGTGTGGTGTGTGTGTGTGTGTGTGGTGTGTGGTGTGTGTGTGGTGTGTGTGTTTGTCTGTGTTTGTCTGTGTTTGTCTGTGTGTGTGTCTGTGTTTGTCTGTGTGTGTCTGTGTTTGTCCGTGTTTGTCTGCGTGTGTCTGTGATTATCTGTGTTTGTTTGTGTGTGTCTGTGTGTGTGTGTCTGTGTGTCTGTGTGTCTGTGTGTTTGTGTGTCTGTGTGTCTGTGTGTGCGTGTGCGTGTGCGTGTCTGTGTGTGCGGAAGGGCGCACTGCGTTGGCGGCAACCCGCGGCAGAAGGCTGGAGAAGGAGAGTGGGACGAAGCAACGACTTCAGTTGAACGGCTGGCGAAAGACTGCACAAAGACATCGAGTTCTCACAAAGTCGGAATACCAGGGCCACTCTGCCTAACCGCGTCGGTGGCCAGAGGCAAGTAGGGGGGGGCGGCGGAGGAAGAGGAGGCGGAGGAGGGGACTTGGCTCGCCGCAGCGTCAGCCTCCCCGCGGAGCGCGAGCAACTTGCGGAATGGCATCAAATCGACCAGAAGCTTCCCGCTGCCGCTCCAGTACGTACTTCGGGGACTGCCTTTTGCGAGCCCTATTCCAGTTGGTTACCGTGCGGCTGGTGTCTTTAGCCAGCATGCGCCTCACCTCCAGATTGACAGCACGCGCACCTTCCGAGTCATTGCCACAAGCTTGGCAAATGATTAGAATGCTTGCGAGGTGCTCTGCAACAGAGAGGTTGTGTCCACGCTGGTCGTGTCACAGGGAGCGGACGACGGGCGAGGCCCCAGCTTACCCGTCGAGGGGTGGCGGGGGGGCGGCATGGGGAGAGGATGAACACGGGGGTGACTGTACGAACTAGCAGCCTAGCGCAAACTTCGAGTGGGGAGCCCCCTACTCTGCCAGGCAGGTCGGGACAGGGATGCCGAATGCCCTTACCCATCGAGCCGGCGCAGAGACACTCCCCGGCCCGCTGGGCCAGCCCAGAGGAGTGCGGGCCAGGGCCCAGCCCGAACAGATCGGGGCCCCGCGCGCGGGGGACAGCCCGGAGCCCCTGGGCCGGCCTTGTGTGAGCCCAAGTAATGATTGGACCGGCGGTAGGATTGGCCCCCGGGGGCGAATGCAAACAAACTATCTGACATGCCCCGCCCGCCCGATGCTTTGCCGGCGCGCCAGGGGGGCCACTGAACTCCAGTATTTTGCACCCCCTGAAGCAAGGGGCTACCCACCAGGCTAGCGGGGCCTATTATTCTGCACATTGATGGCGAAACAGACTCAGCTGTGATACCCCCTTGCCTGCAACGGCAGGGTGCCACAGGCTACCCCCGAGCGTGTGGCCGAACGGCGGCGGGTCGGCAATGCCTGATGACCCTGCCCTCACCCGAGTTTGGGGGGGAGGTGCCGACGGGCAGGGACAAAGTATTGCGAAGGGGGGGGGAGGCCAGCAGAAGCAGAGTGAAGTGGAGAAGCGCAAGTGACCTCCTGATTCTTTGGGGGGCCAGCGTTGCCATGAGTTTGAGGGGAGCGATAAGAGAAGTGCGGGCGCTGGCATGGCGGCAGAGCAGCGCAAGTGCAAGTGGTTCACATTGGCAGACGGTGGTGCCAACCACCCCTGGGAGAACCACGGCCGTAGCCTAAACAGGTGCGGCGCGGCGGATGCCTGGTATCCTGCCTTGATGTTGAATCGGGCTGGCCGAAACAACGGACCGCGAGGTAGTTGGGCATGCAGAGGATAGGTTTAGCCCATAGTCCGAGTAGAATTCCCAGGAGCTTACCTCACAACGAGCGGACTGTGACTTGATTGCAAAAACTCCAGCCATGCTTGTTGAGTCGGTCTGACCGAAACAACGGACCACAGGCTAGTTGGGCATTCAAGGCAAAGCCTTAGCCCATAGTCCTGGCAGAGTTCCAGCGCTGGCGGCCTTGACCTAAGCAGGTGCTGCGCGGCAGATGTCAGGAATCCTTCCGTGATCGTTGCGTCGGGCTGGCCGAAACAACGGACAGCGAGCTAACTGGGCATGCGAGGCATAGCCTTAGCCCAGCGTGTTAGCAGAATTCCAGAGGTCTTGCCTTCTAGAACACAGCCCAGAACTTGCCTACAGTACGTGGCCCAAGGATTACGTAAAGGAAGACGACGTGTGCAAGGCAGAAGCTGGCTATGGGGTAACGCGGTGGAGCGGACGAGCGGGTTGGAGGGGACAGGGGCTGCTTCGGTTAGGGGCAGCACAAGGGAAGAAACTAGAGTGGAGCGTGCAGCACTATCCGTGCACAGAGTGAGGAGCATTTGCTTCGGGCCTGGGGGAGCCCTGCAACCTACTGGCCTGTGCCGCCCCGGTGGCGAAACGCCAAGTGAGCTCGGGGGAGTGCCCATCGGAGACCCACTGTCTCCTTACATGCCGCCCCGTGCGTCCTCTCCGATTTCTCAACTTTGGGGCCGTGCACACCTTCGGCACGGGGAGCAGGAGGAGGAGGTGGAGGAGGAGAAGAGGACGAGGACGAGGACGAGGATGAGGACGAGGAGAAGGAAGAAGAGAAGGAGGAGGTAAGGAGGAGGAAGAAGAGGAGGAGGAGAAGGAGGAGGAGCAGGAGCAGGAGCAGGAGCAGGAGCAGGAGCAGGAGGAGCAGGAGGAGGAGAGACTGAATTTATTCCCCGCCGAGAGAGAAACAGGGGGGGGGGAGTGCAACACTAAAGATCTCCATCGGTTAGAAGATTGCAGGGCTCTAAGGAAGCTTCCGTGCCTTCCTAGGAGCCGCCCTCGATGCCGCACTTTTGGCTTCAGTGAGCGGGGGCAGTGACTCCTCCTCGTCCTGCTGCTCCACCTTCTGCTCCTCCTCTGTCCAGGCGGAGTTCTCCGAGCATGGCGGCGGCGTCGGCGGCGAGGCCGAGCTCATTGGCGGGGCGGCCGACGTCGGGCAGCCCGAAGACGAGGCCGCGACGACGACGACAAGGAGGAGCGCGACGACGACGACGACGACGGACACGCGCGACGACGACAAGCATGACGATGACGTCCAATACAAGCACGACGACGACCACGGCGGCGACGACGACGACGACGACGACGACGACGGCGGCGGCGGCGACGTCGGCAATGGCGACTGCGATGATTGCCACGGCGATGACGGCGACGGCGACGGCGACCACGGTGGCGGCGGCAGCGGCGGCTTGCGAGGCCTAGCTGACTGGCGGGGCGACAGGTCGGGCA